ACACACACACACACACACACACACACACACACACACACACACACACAATGGAATATTACTCAGCCATAAAAAAGAATGAAATCTTGCCATTTGTGACAACATGGATGGACCTGGAGGGTATTATGCTTAGTGAAATAAATCAGACAGAGAAAGACAAATATTGTATGTTTTCACTTATGTGTAGAATCTAAAAAGCCAAACAAATAGACAAATATAACAAAACAGAAACAGACTCACAGATATGGAGAACAAATTAGTGGCTGCCCGAGGGGAGACGGGTGGGAGGATGGGCAAAACAGATGAAGAGGATTAAGAGGTACAAGCTACCAGTGATAAAATAAAGTAGTCACAGGGATATAATATACAGCACAGGGAATATAGTCAATAATATGTAATAACTTTGTATGGTGTATAATCTATAAAAATATCAAATCACTATATTATATACCTGAAACTAAACCAACTATACTTCAATAAAAAAAAGAGTTTATCAAGGTGTATGGTTATAAGATAAACATCTATACATATAAAAATCAACTGCATTTCTCTATATGACCAATACTTAGAAATATGATATTCTAAAAATGTATCAATACCATTTATGCTGGGAAAACTGGACATCCATATGCAAAAGAATGAAGTTGGGCCCTTATCTAACACCATACACAAAACTTAACTCAAAAAAGACTAAAGACCTAAATGTAAGACCCAAAACTATAAAACTCTTAGAAGAAAACATAGGGCAAACGTTTCATGACATCAGATTTGGCAAGGATTTCTGGGCTATGGACACCAAAGGCATAAGCAACAAAAGAGAAAAAAAGACAAAATGGACTACAACAAAACGTAAACATTTGTTCATCAAAAGACACTATCTGCAGAGTAAAAAGGCAACCCACACTATGAGATAAAGTATTTGTAAATTGTTCATCTGATAAGGATTAATATCCAGAATATATACAGAACTCCTAAAACTCAACAACAAAAGGACAAACAACCCAATTCAAAAATTCTCCAGATAAAATACACAAACGGCCAATAAACACATGAAAAGATGCCTAACATCACATCATTCAGCATTAGGGAAATGCAAATCAGAACTATGAGATACCATCTCACATCCATTACGATGGCTGCTATAAAAAAAACTATCTTGAACAGAAAACTAGTGCTGGCAAGGATGTGGGGAAACCTGGAACCCTTGTACACTATTGGTGGGAGTGTAAAATGGTGCATCCACTGTGGAAAACAGTATGGCAGTTCCTCAAAAAATTAAAAATAGAACTACTATATGATCCAGCAATTCCATTTCTGGGTATATACCCAAAAGTATTGAAAGCAGGGCCCCAAAGAGATATTTGTATACATCCATGTTCATAGTAGCATTATTCACAAGAGCTAAAACATGGAAGCAACCCAAGTGTCCATCAACAGACAAACGGATAAGAAAAGTATGTGTATACATACAATGAAATATTATTCAGCCTTAAAAAGAAAGGGAATTCTGGGAATTCCCCGGCGGTCCAGTGGTTAGGACTCTGTGCTTCCACTGCAGGGGGTACAGATTCGATCCCTGCTTGGGGGACTAAAGATCCCACATGCTGTGCGGCGTGGCCCCAAAATTTTTTTTAATAAATAAAATATTTTGTAAAAAGCAATTTTAAAAAACACTTAAGAAAACAAAGTCAATTCTGAAAGATGCTACAACATGGATGAACCTTGAGTACATTATGCTAATGGAAATAAGCCAGTCCCTAAAGACAAGTACCCGTATGATTCCACTTAATATGAGATAGAGTAATCAAAGTCATAGAGACAGAAAGTAGAATGGCGGTTGCCAGGGGCTGAGAAGGTAGGGAAAGGGGCGTTTAATGGATACAGAGTTTCAGTTTTAGAAAATGAAAACTGATCCAAAGAGTCAAAGCAAATTCATCCAACAAGGTTTTCCAAGGAACTTGCAAAGATGATTCTAAAATCTGTAAGAGAATGAGCGCAAATAGAGCCAAGACACCCTTGATGAAGAACTAAGTTGGGAGGGCTTGATGTGTCAAAAATCAAGACCTAGATAGCTAGTTTGCTATCGGTACAGGAATCACCAAACGGGCCGATGAAAGAGAATAGGGAGCCAAAACACAATCCCTATATGTATGGGAATGTGATATATGATAAGGGTGGCACTGCAAATCAGTGGTGAAAATATGAACCATAATACCTCATTCTGGGACAGTTGGTTTTCCCTATAGAAAAAATAAAATCCTTAATTCATATCACATACAAAAATCAACTACAGATGGATAAAGATTTAAATGTGAAATGCAAAATATTAAAAGTTTTAGAAAAAAGTAAAAAATATCTTACGACCTTACATAAGGAAGAATTCTTTAAGCAAGCACAAAAAATAGAAATCAAAAAGGAAAAGATTGATGAACTTGACTGAATTGAAATAAAAATCTGTTCATCCAAAGATACTATAAATAACCTGCAAAGATGAGCCACAAATTGGGAGAAGATATTTGCAATTCATAAGGGACAAATGAGTCTCATCCCAAATATATAAAGAACTCCTAAAAACCACTAAGATAGCAACAGAAAACCGAACAGAAAATTAGGTAAAAAACATGAACAGGCATTTTATGGAAGAAGAAACCTGAATGGCCAATGATGATTTGCAAATATATTCAACCTCGCTAGTAATCAGAGAAATGTAAATTAAGACTATAGAGAATTACCATCTTATACAAACTAGTTTGACAAAAGTGAAGAAGCCTGGCAAATTTTGATCTTGATGTGGAGCAATGGAAACTTACACCCTGCTGCTCGGAGTGAACACAGGCAAAGACACTTTGGAAAACAATTTGACACGTTTTATAAAGCAGCACAAGCACATACTTTATAATCCAGCAGTTCTACTTCCAGAATCTGCTGTGCAGGTGCATCTGGAGACTCATTTAAGAATGTTCACAGCAGCCGCATTTGTAATAACAAGAAAACTAGGAACAAATCAAATGCCTATGGATGCCAGAATGAAGAAATAAATTGTGATATATTCATACAGTGGAAAGCTATACATCAGAGAAAATAAATGAACTACAGCAAAACTTCCACCTGGGTAAATACTGGAAACATGGGGTTGTGTTGAAAAATAGAGAGCAATTTCATTTCTATCAAGCTCGAAAACGAGCAAAATTATATAATGCACTGTTTGGGGACACATGCACATATGGTAAAATTACTCCCAAAAAGGCAAGAAAGTTATAAACATAAATTTCAGGGGAATATTTACACGTAAGAGGGAGGTAGGGGATATGGAAGGGGCACCCAGGTGACGTTCAAATTCACCAGCGGGGTTCACCGGTGTTTGGTGTATTATTATGACTTTATGATTTTCATAAATGTTATTTTTTGTCCAAATCAGCACTAAGTAGAATAAAAAGACATGTGATGAAGCAATTTATGACGAGTTCCTAGCATATACAGCTGACTCACTATACGCTCCCTGCAGGCCAGGTACAGCACTAAATGATGTGCACACATTCTCTTATTTAGTCTTCCAGCAGCCCTACCAGCAGAGATTATCTTTACCCTCATTTTATACTTGAGGAAGCAGACATCCAGAGAGATTAAGCCACTTGCCCCAGGTCATGCACCTAAGGGGATCTGAGATGCAAAGTGAGGTCTGACTCCCAAGCACTTCCTCTCACACAGCAGGAAAGAGACTGTTTTGATCCCACAGCAGCGCTCCCTCCTCTGAGTCCCCAGAACTCTTCCCACAATTAACTTATGAACTCGCACTCCTCTTGGATGAATCTGTGTCTAAGTCCTCAATTTTCTTAAAGCTCCTCCAGTACAAAGATAATACCTGTGCCTTCTCTGTGTTCCCAGGGCCAGTGCTGGTACCCAGCAGGATGCTTAGTACTGTTGGTTCGGGGTGTTACAGAATCATCTGATGTGGGGCTCTGGGCTGTTGGCTCAGAAGTCTGGGGGAGGAGTGCCTGGGGGCCACGAGGAAGGGCCGGGCACTCACCCCGGGGGCTGTAGCCATGGCCGTCCATGAAGGAGAGGCCCAGCCGCTCATCCTCCTGCAAGGTGCTCTGGTCCGTGAAGCTCCGGTCCACGGCACTCATCATGTGGGTCTTCTCCTGGCGGTAGTTGACCGTGGCCTTGGTCATGTTCACTGGCTTCCTGCAGAGGAAGGTTGATGGGAGACATGGGTGCTCAGCTGGGCAGGACAGCAGCCAGAGGTGGATGGGGAAGTCTGGCAGTCAGGGGGCCTTGAGGCCAGGAGCCAGTCTAGAAGCATCTCTGGATGCTGAGGGGGCTCTGCCTCCATCCTTTGCCCACCAGACCCAGTGAGCTGCTGCCTCCCCCAAGAGGGCCTGGGCAGGGTCCCTGTCCTGGGGACCTCTGCTGACAGCAAGGGATGGAACACCAGCGGCCTCAGGCTGGGATCCGCCTCCTAACTCTCACTGGCCCCGAGGGCTCGGGAAAGGGGAGGAAAGTCACTCCGGTGACTATTCTGGTGGCACGGCAGACAGTCACTGCACCCCAAACAAGGGAGACGCCTGCCCCAGCTCCAGCCCCAGCAAGTCCCGTAGGTAACCTTCCTTCCTCCGTCCTCACCACACAGCTGCCCTGGGAACTCTTCCTCCTGCAGTGGGGTTGGACTACACTCCTTCATGGCAGAGTCTGGCTAGTACTCGGTCAGTCTCATAAGTTTTCACTGGGCGCAGAATGACTCCAACCATGACTTCTTCTTAACCCCCAGAACCCCCAGGATGGTTGCACCACAGGCCACACCAGACTTGTAAAGAAATCCACGCAGGGTCCCTATTCCCGTCACTGCCCACCAGTCCATCCAGCCACCAGCAGCAGCAGAGAGAGAAGGCGAGAGGCCCCGGCCCCTCCCGAGAGGGCAGAGCTTCTGGAGAGCCCCTGGGCAGGGGCCACACACAGCCCAGGCCTGCAGCCCAGCTTTACAGATGAGGATGGCCGTTTGTGACCCCAGGGAACTCGGAGGAAAGTGGGAGGGAGGACGGGGTGGGGAGGCAAGGGCCACAGCTCCAAGACCAAGGGGCTGCGCAGCAGGCAAAGGGAAAGGACCTGGGACCTGCGCTGAGACTGGAGAAGAGCCAGGGCCCAATCACAGGGAAGGCTCGGGACGAGAGAGCCGTTTACCTCTAGGCCCTACAGAGTGCAAGGTGTGGGGCAGACCTGAGAGAGGACTTCCGGGTCACGCGGGCTCAGGGACACTGGTCATCCATGGAGATGAAGAGGCCAGTGCAGGGATTCCCCCAGACAAACAGGTAAACTCCACTCAGCCCCTCCTGGCTCAAGAGCCGCCTGGGGCCCAAGGGGGACAGGATGACCTCTGGGTGCCCCTCCTGCCAGGACCTCGACGTCCTTCCTGTGCTAAGATGGCTCTGTGTCCACGCTGGGGACCAGTGCTGCCGTGCACTGCGGTGGGTGCGGCCTTCCCAGTCTGGACAAGAGATGGCTCAGCAGGCCCAGGCCTCCAGCTCCCAGCCCCACCCGCGGGCTCTGGGCATCACCCTCACTGTGGCCCAGGGCAGAGCCAAAGACCCCTTTGGGGGCAGGTGAGAAGAAGCCTCTGTGGCTGTGACCTTGACCATCAACATAAGAGAGAAGGTGGAGGAGGAAGGGAGGTGAGGAGGGAGAAGAGGCAAGAGGACTGACAGAGGAGGAGGAGAGTAAAGGGACAATGACAAGGGGAGAGAGAGAGGGAAGGAGACGGAGGGAGGGACAGGTCAGACACCAGCAACCACAGGGAAGACAGAGGACAGCCCGTCAAGCTGGCTGAACAATGGTGCCCAAGGAGGGCCTGTCACCATGGATACCGGCCTAGAAGGTCTGCAGGGGTGTACCCCAGGGCTCTGGTCCCACCCAGACCTCCTGGTCCACTTGGAAGAAGAACCTGAAACACCAACCAACCAGCTCCACAGACACAGCCAGGAGGGACACCTCGCACTGAGGCCTCCAGCCCTTCTCAGGGTGAGATCAAGCAGATGCCACGTAACATGGACACTTGGAAAAGTTCTGCATTAGGTTCAAAATTAGCTGCAAAGTAGAGAGGGAGGGCGAGCTGCCTTGTCAGCAGCTCCTGGAAAAGCCGAGCTGGAGGCTCCATGTGAGTTGATGGGGGTGTGGTTGCTGGAAAAGCCAGTGTGATGGTGGGTGACTTCGATGCAAGAAGAGGGTCCAGGGAGGAGGTGAGAGACCACCATCCTCTGGGCTGGCCCTGGGCCACCTGAGCCTGCTGTGCAAGGCAGGGACAAGCACAGGTAAGGGGAATGTTCTGGAAGGCTTGCAGGGTCAGCGATCACAGAGGCAGGAAACAGAGCAGCATGGACAGACCGTGGAGTCCGACGGGGCCTGGGTTGTAACCCCAGCTCTGCCTGTCCTGTGGCCTCTGAGGAGTCCCTAACCTCCCTGAGCCTCAGTTTCCTCATCAGTAAAATGGGGTGATCACAGTGCCTCTTCTCAGGGTTGTTGTGCGAATTCTGTGTGAAGAACTGAGCCCAGGGGAGGTGCCCAGGAAATGGTGGGTCTGAGGAGCTGGGGTCACCAGCTGGAGAAGGGCTGGTGGCACCCTGGGAGCGGCGTGCACCGTATGGAGAGCTGCCATCTGTCTGCCCCACACACATGCACAGAGCTGTGGATCCAGAGTGGGACCCGGGTGAGGACCTTCCTGGACGCGGACTGCAGTCTGACGTCAGGAGGTCCCACCCAGCAGGAGTGGCTCAAGACACAAGGGGCTGCCTCGGGGGCGAGAGGACACAGAGGCTCAGGGAGGTCGAGTGACTTGCCTGGGGTGGCTCAGCAGAGCCAGGTCTGAACCTGAGACCCTGACCACAAAGCCAGCTCTCCTGACCTCCACGCAGGAGGACAACAGGGAGAGGAGAGACAGAGCAGAGGAGGGAAGCTCAGAGACAGGGTGGCCGTGGAGGAGGGGCTGATGCCAGGCCAGGCCGGGGTGGGGGCAGGGGCTCCCCAGGAGGGGCGGTGCTCTGAGGCAGGTGCGCTACTTACGGGTAGTAGGAGTAGGCATAGTGGTCTCTCCTGGCAGCGTGCAAAGAGAACAGCACAGGTGGGCCACGGTCCTTCCCCAGGCCGGGCCCAGGGCAGCACCCCCAGCAGGGAGGGGCCTGGTGCTTTCCGTGCCGGGGACGGGGTTGGCCGGGAACCGACAGGTCAGAAGGGCCTTCCTTGACCCAAGGGCTGGCCGGGCTCAGTCTCTGAGGACCAGGACCCAAGGTCCCTTCTAGAACCTTCCCCAAGCCCACTGCTGGAGTGAGAAGGAGGTGGGGAAAGGGCCTGGAGGGAAGCAGAGCTTTCACACACAGTCATACACACATGCGTTCACAAAGAGAAACGCACTGCACGCTCACATATGCAGACACACTCATCTGGATACACACGCTCATACACAGCAACACAATGACACACTCATGCACTTACAAACACAGATATTTACACACATGCAGACACTCGTACACATGTATTCAAACACACACACTGACACACACAGGTACATACACAAACACACGCTCACACACAGATGCCTGCGCTCACACACACGGACACCCCCACTCACACACTCAAGGTAACTGCCGCACTCTCCCCTGCAGACAGTCCCCACTGCGGTCCCCGTGCCGCCCACCCCTGCAGGTCCCTCTGCCCCTGACGGGACAGCCCTCTGCACGCACCTGTGCCTGGGAGGGAACAAGTGGCCAGGGCAGGGGACACTGCGGCCTCGTCACCCACCCAGACTGCCCCTGGGTGTGGGGTCCATGAAAGGAGCCGGGTCACCCCCTCACGGGCACCCAGAGCACAGGGGGGGTCAAGAGCCCTGACCTGACTGCCAGGTACCAGCAGCGAGGAGTGGGGGCAGGTCTGATTCCCAGCTCCCAGGTGGGGAAGCCGGTCCCAGAGAGTCACGGTCTGCCTGGGGCTCTTGGGGGTCAGCGAGAGTCCAGAGCAGGCCCAGGACCCTGCCCCCAGAGCCAGCTCCCCCTGCGGCCCCGTCCAGGCCCCCTCCAGGGTCCTCCACTCACCTGCCCCACGTCACCCATCATGGGGGAGGGAAGGGAAGGAGAGCGGAGGGGAAGACTGAGGCCCAGCCAGGGCAGGAGATTGGCTCGAGGTCACACAGCATGTCACCCACCCCAGGGACAGAGGAGGGGTCCAGGGCCCTGAGCTGTTCACAGAGGCCCTGAGGGGTGGGAGGAGGGGATGAAGGAGTGGTGTTCTTCTGGTATCAGCTGAAATATCATGACTTTAAAAGAGCCTTCCCTAAGGGGTCCCCCACAGTCACCAACTACATTACGTCCCCCTTTACCTTCTCTCTGCCCCCCACCCCGACACCCTGGTCTTTTCACAATTTGTAATTACGCATTTGTGCTTTTTCTAGTTTAATGCCAGGCCCCCCGCTTATAACCACAAAGCACAGGACGACAGCATCTTGGTCGCGTTTGCCACCACTGGATCCCCAGGGCCCAGGACAATGCCCAGCACGTTATATTCCCGAGATATTTTATTGAATTGAGTAATCAGTAAATGAGGAAAACTAAATAAAAGAACTCCACCTTTATGAGCTTCCATTTCCTCCTCTAAACAAGTGAGGTTAATAATAATCTCCCCACGGCAAGCACGCGCTCAGCCCTTCCCTGCCCCCTCCTCCTGCTGGGTTGGCAGGGGCGGTTCAGGAGGACCCAAGTCCCCTGGGCCAGACCCTGGGGACACACAGCCAACAAGACAGAACTTCCTCCACCCCCATGCAAGCTCTCAGTCCAGCAGGGAAGAGAAATACTGAGCAAAGCGCTGCAAGCCGTGAATGAAGTGCGGGGTTGGGGGGGGGGGGGGAGGGCTGCAAAGGGATGTGGGGAGGGTCTCTGGAAGCGGAACCAAGGGATCCAACCGGCGAGGGGCACCCCCGAGTTCCCCAGGGCAGGTGCATCCAGCCTCACTGTCCGCAGGGCGGACCTGGGTACACGGGGGCTAATTGGGAGCTGCCCTCCCTCCGCAACCTCCTAATCTGTCCATTACATCTGTACCCCAGGTTGATCTGAACACCCTCATCCCTGCCAGAGCTGCTCTGTCCCATGGCGCCCCACAATGCAGACTAGGGGAGCCCTCAGGAGCACAGTGGACCCTGAAGGTCGGGCAGGAGTCGGGGGATGCAGCGAGGTCCTACAGAATGGGACCGAATGGCTTTTAGACGACCTAAGGAGGGGCAGGGGGGTGGGGGGTGGGGTGGATCCTAGAGGCTTCCAGTAGCAGCTGCATAAAGTGGAGGGTTTCCTAGTGAGGCTCTGGCAGCATCTCTGACCCATCCTCTCCTGAGCCTGGCGCTCTCTCTGCAGGGGTGGGTAACATCCCCTACATTGCCAATATTCCCTTGAGGGTAAATTTCTAGAGTCTTAAATACCACCTGCAACCCCCAAGATCTGACCCCTCCCTTACAGCCCTCTCTATCTGCACCACTACCCAGCCCCCAGGGCCTTGCCACTTACAGGAATCTACTGTGTGCCAGTTGCGGTGAGGCCCTTCACGTGCCCAGCCGTGAGGAGGATGGGCTTTGCAGTCAGGCCTGGGTTCAGTCAGGACCTGCCACTTAGCCAAGTGACATGGGCAAGTCGCTGAATGATAGTTTCCTGACCTGTCTAAGGGACTTAGACCTGCTTCGTGGGCCAGGATCCAAGAAGGAAAAATTCTCTGATGTATTCTGAGTCCCAGAGGTGCTTGATAACTCCTGTTCTAATGGCTGATGTGTATAGAACTCCTGGCACAGAGTAATATTCATTAAATGATAGTTTAAAATATTTTGTCTCAGGAATCTGTACAGGGACTACGGGAAGGGAAAAATCAGAGCCCAGCATTCTGGACCGGACATCCCCACGCCACCCCATCGGTGGCATGCCCCAACCCCAGACTCTCTAGGAGAGTTTTTCTCCTATCATTGCCTGGCCTCAGGCAAGGGGGCCCTGGCCAGTTCTCCCTCATCTCCCTGGATCCCGCTTATCTGCTCCTGGCATCCCAGAGACACAGAGCCAACACACCCATGTGTGCCCAGCCTGGCAGCAGCAAGGGCTACAGAAGGCAGAGCCCAGGCGGGGAGAAGGCGGAGCAGGCTCTGCCTCTGGCTCCCTGGGTGACCTTGGGCAGGTCCATGCCCCTTCTGGGCCTCAGCATCTCCATCCCTCAATTAGGGGCTTGAACCACAGTGTCCTGGGGCTGCCTGGTAGGGAATGCGGTAGGGTGGGGAGGGAAAGCAGAGGGGTCTCAGAAGTCCCCACTCGGCTCCAACCCGAGGCTCAGCCTTCAGCTGCTCCATTTACTGAGCTCCCAGGAGAGGTTTATTTGGTGTTTTGAAGATGGGTTCTGCTGCTTTTGAAAGACTGGAAAACCACTAGACTAGACGTCCTTGAGCTACATGGCAGCCCTCAGTTTCTGGGCTCTGAGCCTCTGTAATTCTAAATTCTGAGATTCTCAGAATCTCAAATCCTGGATTGCTAAAACTCCAAAATTGTAAATTCTGGATTCTAAGATATGCTGGGATTCACTCTGCCCACTGCAAAATGCACTGGGAAAATGCATCCCTCACAAACACAAGGACTGGACCTTTGAGGCCCAGGAGATGGCACAGGCAGGAAGGAGGTCTCCTCTGAGTCATGGGCCCAGGAGGACTCCTCAAGGATCAACAGTAACAGAGTCCAGGGCAAGCAGAGCCCAAGAGAAGGTGGGGCCTGGGAAGCGCAGAGGGTCCTTGCTTTGAAGTGGAGTGAGCCCTGCCCCCACCTCAGGATCAACACCACAACCCCGTGCTTAGGGCAGACAAGAGAGCCGAAGACCTTCGGGGGGCTGAGGATTCCAAGTCAGGTTACCTCCACACCATCCCCATCAGAACAGCCCAGCAGGCACAGGAGGGCGGTGCCCACGCCCAGCACGGCTCCTTGGCAGCCGGCAGTGAGTGCCCTTGCCTGGACAGTGGCACCCGGCACCAGCTAGAACTGGGCTCCAGCCAAGCCACTCTAGGGCAGCTCCATTTGCAGAGTCTCGGGCTTCCCCCAACCCGGCTTGGGTCCATCCACAGGCCTGATGCCCAGGCTGGCAGCCCTCCACACACCCGCCAGGCGACTGCCTGACCAGCCCCCAGCCTCCTCTCTGCTCACCAGGCCTCTGACGGAGAGAAGCCTACGGTGGGCCAGGGCACCGGCCTCACTCACCCCTTTCGGATGATAATAATAATGGCCCCCAGGAGGAGGATGAGGACGGCAAGTCCCCCTGCACAGATGCCCAGGATGAGCCCCATCTCCTCCGACCTCTGGGACACCTCCAGGGGCTGTTTGCTTTCCTTGCAGGCAGCTGGGAAGAACAAAGCAGAACAAAGGATCAGAGGGGAGATCAGGACCACCTTAAGCCCCAAGGAATAAACATCTGCCCCTCATCCTCAGCACATGTCCCACCTTTCAATCAAATCCATCTCCTCATCATCCCTCACACCTTCCGCATTCCCGTGGCAGAGGCTTTACGTGCCCTGTGCCCCTATCAGGGATATTAGCTCCCTTCACCTCTCTGCCTCCTCAAATCCTCCCCGTCCTTCAGTGGACGGGAGATGGAGGATGTGTGGGGCCTTCAGACCCCACCTTTTTGCCCTCCTGGGAGGCAATGGGGGGAGAGAACTATGTACCCAGGGCATGGTTAGGGCATCTCAGGATGGGGAACCAACCACATTCCCCATCTGGGAGCAGGGACAATCCCTACACCACAGGGTCCACGCTGTCCCCACTTCTCCCCACCATAGGAAAGGGGGAAGATACAGACCTCAGTGTCCAGTACCCACCACCCCCGTGGCCCGACCATAATGGCTCACCCTCCTCCAGGCCCCTGCCAAGGCCCCTTCTGTGACCATGGCAGGATGAGGGTTTGTCCCTACTGCCCAGTCTGGAAGAAGGAGACCTTGAGGTGGGGCACATAGGGAGCAAGAAAGGGAGATGTTTCCTGACCCCCAAGCCTGCCGGACCACCCTCCTCTGCTCCCACAGGCCTGGGAACCCAGGGTCCACCTCCCCAGAGCCCAGCAAGTAAGAAACCCGCTACTGAAGGACTGAACCCAGGGGCACTTACCTTTCCTGGCAATGCGGATGCAATTCAGCCGGGTCTCCTGGAGGCACAGATGGGGGTCTCAGCACCGCTGAAGTCAAGACCTGACCCTCCCCAGAGGGAATCTTAGACAGCGTGTCTTGGGCCTGGTCAGGGCTTTTCTGGCGTGGACCGTTACTAAAGACACCCGACCTGGCAAGAGGGTCTGGGGGGAATCAGGGAGGGAGGGGCCAAGAGGGAAGGAGCCTGCAATAGGGTAATGCCTTAGGAAAGGGGGATGAGACGGGTGGAAACAGAAAGAAACAGCATGGGAAGAGGGCTGGTTGGGGGAGGCGCTCAGAAATGAGGGTGGGGCCTAGATCCAGGGGTCTCCTTAGGAGGGGGGCGGCCTGGGAAAGAGCGACCCGAGGAGGGAGGAGCCTGGAGAAGGGCGGGGCTTCAGGGAGGAGGCGGGTCCCAGGCCTCCTCAAGCTCTGGTGAAAGTGGGAACCTGAGATGGACCCCCTCCGGAGAGAGAGGAGCCTGAGATAGAAGACCAGGAGCAGGGACCAGGCTGGGAGCTTGGATAGAAAAGAGTCTGGGGAAAAACGGTTCAAGAAGGGGGTACTGCTGGAGAGAAGCTGGCTGGGGTTAGGAGGGAGGGGCTCAGGTGAGTGGGCGGGGCTGGGAGTGGGAGGAGCTATCGGAGGGCAAGGCTCATCAGCGGGGGCGGGATCAGGACGGGGGTAGTGCCTGGTGGGGGTGGGTCTCTGGCCTCTGTAGCAGCCTGCTCCAAGGTGTCACCAATCCTGCCCCCCAGCCGGCCCCGCCACCACCCCGGCCGGCCCCTCACCCCCTTCAGGTGGCTTGTTGCCTGGAAGTAGATGAGGTAGGCCTTCCTGGGTTCAAGCGGTGGGTTCCAGAAGCCACGATAGGTATGGTTGTCACCCACGGTGAAGGGCATGGCCTCAGGCAGACTGCTGGCCGCCAATTCGGCCCCGAAGTAGTGCACCAGTCCTCGGGCCAGCGCCGCATCGAAGGTCAGCGGCACTGGGAAGCAGTCCTGGCCGCCTGGCTCCCGCCGGAGTCTCCGCGGCCGCTCCTCCTCCACAATAACCTGGTACACACTGGCCATGGGGGGGGGAAGCGCAGTGGTCACAGTTGCCAGAGAACAGGGAGAGCCATCTGGTGGCTAAGGGCGTGGGCTTTGGGGTCAGGCCCAGGCGAGGGCTCATCTCAGCTCTGCCTCTTACTAGTTGGGCAAGTCACTTTAGCTCCCTGGGCCTCAGTTTCCTCCTCTGTAAAATGGGAGTGATTACAGGACTGTTACATAAGGTAGAGGTGAGGAAGGAGGCAAGTTTAGCAAGCAGCCAGTACCTGTCAGCTGTTATTACTGTAACTAAGGCTGAAAGAATGTGAGCCCTGCTTAAGGGAACCAAGCCCTAAAGCCCCACCCTGACTCCTCAATGCGTCCTCCAGGGCCTGGGAACCCCAAGCCTCAGGCTCCAACCAGGTTCCCGACAGGTCCCTCTAGGCCACAATAAATTCGAGTAAGACATGATGCATTCACTCATCCAGAAAGTGTTTACTAAGCTCAGACATGGGCCCTGTGCCGGGCACTTGGGGGATGTAGGCTTCCTGGAACTGCCCTCCAGTGGGGGAGCTGGTCACTTAGCAGGCAAACGAGGTCACACTAACCCTACATCTCGAGTACCCTCCCAACCCGGAGGCAGCCTCGAGACTGCAACTCTGAGCCTGCCATCTCCCGGTCCTGATGGCTGATTTGTGTTCCCTGGTCTGTATTCCCTCTGATTTGTGTCTCCTGATCCCGACTTGTGTGTTTCTATTTATTTTCATCACTTTACTGAATGGCCTTGCTGTGAACTCCTCCAAATCCTCTGTGGAACAGAGCCAAGAGTAAATAAATGAATGCTGACAAATTTAAATATTTCCAGTCCCAGCCTCGGTCACGTCTTGGCACGGGATACCCCATACTGACAGCCTGCACTCTGGCAAAGTAGAAATGCCTTTTCCTTGCTCTCCAGCTATTTTTTTTGAGCTTCCAAGTTGGGAGGGAATCACCCCCAGCACCCTGGGATTTGGGCCAGACAGGTTCATTCCATCACTAACCAGCCCAGGCCCTTCTCAACCCTCCATTTCCCAGGCTGATGTGAGGCCTCTCCTGGCCCGAAGTCCCACCAGGAGATGATAGTAATCATTAGCCATGAACGAAGCACATCTTGATCTGGGATGATACCCATGATACACCTAAGGGAGGCTCAGAGGGGTGAAGGGACGTGCCCGAGGTTGCACAGCCATCAGGCCTCTCCCCCGCACATGGTCCACGCCTCGCCCAGACCCAGCCCTGCCATCATCATCCCTGAGAGACGCTGACCAGGCCTGCTCACAGGATCCCCCAAGGGAAAAGGAAAGGAGAAGGTGATGCTGGTTTCCCAACTCCTCCCAGATTCAGAGGCAACAGGGCCCTGAGGCTCCTGCAAAATGCCAAATGCCCCTGAGATGCCCAGACTTTTTCCTGGGGTCTGGGAATCAGCCCAGGGCAGGCTTTGCAGTGGCAAATACAGGGGAGCCAAAGCAGGAGAAAAGAGTGGAAGGGGGGAGGAGTGAGGAAATGAAGGGGTGTCAAGGGCACCTGGGAAACCCACTGCCTTCTTGGGGGGCTTAAGAGGACACTCCCATGCCCAAATGCAGGCTGTCACCCTCTCCCAGTGCATGAAACTTTATGGTAGGAGGAGGTGGACCAGAGGGGCAGGGAGGCTCTGTGACTTCAAGGAAAGGTACAGGCTTTGCAGACAAACCTGGCTTCCAAATCCCAGCGCTATCGTTTACCAGCTCTGTGGCCATGGGGGCTCATTATTCAGGCTCTCTGAGCCTGTTTCCTGATATGTAAAATAAGGGTACTAATACCCACTCCGCAGGCTGCCACGAGGATAACATGACTCATGCAGGTAAAGTCCCTAACACGATGTCTGGCTGACAGGAAGTATGTGCACACATTCCACAAACACGCTCACTCTCTTTCACATACACACTCACACATCACACACACGTCACATGTCTTCACTACACGTGCACACACGCACACACACACACACACACACACACACACACTCACACATCTTGTCTCCAGCACCTTCTCCCCAACAGAAACAGCCACTATGGCATCAGCTTTCTCTGCAAAGAAGTGAGGAGGCCAAGCTCTTGGCCACTCCAGAGAGATGGCCCCATCTGGCTGGCTGCACTAGCCTTCCAGAAAGCCCATCTCTGTGTCTCCCTGGATGGGATGCTCCAGGGAAAATGCTGGGAAAAATAAGGCCCCCAGAGTTCACTTCTCCAAGGTGTCAGAAGGAGGCCCTCTGGAGAGGCCTGAACAGTCCCCTCTCCAGGCTGGATGTTGTCCACAGATCTCATGACAGTCACCACCAGGCACCCTGCGGCCTTAGAGGGGAGTGGCTGCAGGCGTCCTGCCTGCCCGGGATCACAGAATGTCTTCCTCCTGACACTCTGAACCCTTAGTGTGAGACTGAGGAAGGACAAGGGTGAGTTGGCCTGGGTGGGGACTCTGGGTCAGAGGAGGGGCCTCTTCCCTATGGCCCTGACCCCCCGCCCCTCCGTGCAGGCATCCCCACCTGATGGGCGCCCCGCGGCCCTGCGCCGGCCTCAGCAGCACGGTGATGGTGTTCTCAGACTCCCCCAGCGGCGACGGCATGTCGGCATAATCAAAGCTGGGAGCTGGGGAAGGGGACAGGACATAAGCACAGAGCCCAGCCACTGGACCAGGAAGGTCAGGCCTCCAGCCTCCTTGACCCCTGTCCTCAGATCTCTTCCCCTTCAGCCTTCGCCTCCTTATTCCCTCTGACCTGAGCTTCCCTGACCCCTGACCTCAGCCCTTGGATTCCACCGATCGTAGTCTCTAGACTCCTCTGATTTAATCCTCCCTGACCCCTGACCTCAACCTCTAAATGGTATATTTATCTCAGCAGGAGCCCTCCATCACCACCCCCAGGAAGCCTCACCCCCTACCCATGGAACCCTGAGACTCTGCCTCCTCCAAAGGGGCCAGGGCGGGTCGGGCGGGGCTCACCTGAGATATTGGTGGTGATCTCAGTGAGCGCCGCCTGGCCGAAGCCTTTGCCCGTGCGGGCCCGCACGGAGAACAGGTAGGTGGTGCCCGGGTGCAGGTTGGAGAAGACGTGGTAGGTCTCATTGCGGAGCTTGGAGATGGTACGCCGTGGGCCCGGCACATTCACCGCCGGGTCTGACGACTCGATGCTCTGGTAGCTGATCTGGGGGCAGGATGGGCAGGTAGGCGGGCACAGGGATGGGGAAGGGTTTACTAGTCCCATAGCCTCCCACCCATCATGGTTCAGGTGAGCTAGGGATAAGGTTGGACAAAGGGGAGAAGCTTGGTGGGGGGACCGTGGATGCCCCTTAGTCCAGGCCTCTGGGCACCTTCGCCTCTCCCTTCTGCCTTCAGGGCCTCTGTCCCCATAACACATGGGGCACAGACCGCAGCCACAGCGGAAGGAATCCCGATCATCACCTGTGTTCCTCCGCCCCATACACTTCCCTCTCCAACCTGTGGGCCCACCTTCCACCAGGGGCCCCAGCTGTAATAGGGTCCAAACCCACCTCATACTGAGTGATGAGGCCATTGGGCTCCTGGGGCTCCTCCCACTTGAGGAAGATCATGTCCTCCAGCGGAGTGAAGGTCAGGGACTCAGCCGCAATCCCGCCAGGCACTGCAAGGGAAAGGCGACATGGGACAGGGAAAAGCAAGCTTTGGAACCAGATCCCTGAGTTCAGATTCCAGCTTTGCTATTTCCTAGCTGGAATGCTTGGACCACTCAGCCTCTCTAAGCCTCAGCTTCCTCATCTGTGAAATGGGGATGATAATAACACCTCCCTCACCAGAATTAAATGATGTGATGTACATAAGGCCCCAAGGCAAATAAATATCAGCATCTCGTATGGTTCCGCCTACGCCCGAGCACTCGGAAAGGGCAGCTGGCACTTTGGCCACTGTGCAGGATGCATTGGGCAGAGAAGAATGAATGCTCCTATTTTGTTCCAGTTGAGTGGTTTTCAGAAAATATAGACATTTGCCAGAAAAATGAAAACAGCCGCATTAGAGTGGCAGGATTATGGGTGGAGCTGTTTTCTTGTCTAAAAATTACTAATTACACAAACAATATGTTCAATGTAGAAAATCAAAATAGGCATAAAGAAAATTAATGGCACCTACAGTTCCATCACCCAGAGATAAATACTGTCAACATTTCAGCAGAAGCCCTTTCAGGTATGGTTTTGTTTTTGTTTTGTTTTGTTTTAAGGTATCATCTTAACAGCAGGCTCAAGGAATTTCTTCTAGGAAGAGAACGGCCTTTGTTTGGGAAAACACCTTGATAAAATGTTGTGGGGAAGCTGAACTCCTAAGATAGGGGAAAGCAGAAACCCAGATAACAATCAGGGACAGCTCAAGTGCCTTGTGTTAAAATGAACAGTTAACAAGGCAACACCACTATCCACCCACCAAAACAATAAACGGAAAAAGACAATTCCAAGTGTTGGTGAGGATGCAGAGCAACCGAAATGTTCACACACTGCTAGTGGGAGTATACATGGATACAACCACTTGGGAAAACTGGATATATCTACTTATTATGAACACATATCCTATAACCTAGCCATTCTACTCCTAGGCATAAACCCATCAGAAATGTGTATATCTACCAAAAAAGAAAAAATCTACAAGAATTTTATTTGCAGCACAATTTAAAATAGTTGAAAACAACCCAAATGCCCAACAATAGTAAATAAGAAAAATAAATGTGGCATATTCACATAATGGACCGTTCAGCATTGAGAATGAATTCTCTAGAACTGTACACACAACATGGCTGAATCGCTCAAGCATAAAGCTGAGAGGAAGAAGCCAGTCATAAAAAGAGTACACACTGTATGATCCCACTGATGTAATGTTCAAACCCAAGCAGAAATTAATCTGTGGCATTACAGGTCAGGATAATGCTTACCTTTGGAAGGTTGTGAGGGGGAGGATGCATAAAGGGGGGCTTCTGGGCTGCTGGTAATGATTTTTCTTGGTCTGGGTGTGGTTATCCTGATGTGTACCATCTTTGAGAATACTTTGAGCTGACCACTTAAGATAAGCACACTTCCCGTAAGTATGATACTAATACTTCAGTGAAAAGTAAAAAATACTAAATAATGAGCAGTTATCAGAAGGAGAGGGGAGAAGAGGGACAGAGAAAGAAGAAAGAAAACTAAGTAAACCAAGTGAGGCCTGGCCAGGGTTGGGGGAGGGGGTATGAAGCAGCCACAACAACGTACCTAGCGGGGGGGAGGGGAAAGGTCAACAGATTTTAAGAATGGAGCAGTCTGATATTCAGTTTGAGGTTACTTAAGAAGCGTATCAGTATATGCTACCCAAAATATGCCACTTGGTATAAGGATGATTTTGAGCTGAATTGAGAAGGCAATGTAGGAGCATACATGAGAAAAAATTCTCTGCCCTCCCCCTATTTGCCTAAAAGTAGGACATAAATTTGTAAAGGTGACCCCTTCCCCTCTCTACCAGAAAGGACAGAAGTTAATCACTGAGAAAACTAGACCCTTATCAGCCTGGAGGAATCTACCTAAAAAACTTTAAAGACTACCATTAGTTTCCCCATATATTTGACTTCCCCTAATTTGCTGCCCCTAGAAGCTCAAAGCCCTTTTCCTTTGTCTTGTCACTTCTCTAAAAACTCATTGTTCTTTTGTTAGGACACTATATAAGTCCCAGTTCTCACCACCCCTTTGAGTTACTCATCACTGAGTACTCCCCTGTTATGGGTGATGCATGTGTTCATAAACTACTATTTCCTAGAATAGAAAATAATCCGAAAAAATATGTATATGTATATATATATCTTATATCTGAATCACTTTGCTGTACACCTGAAACTAACACAATACTGTAAATCAATTATACCTCAATTTAAAACTTTCTAATAAGATAAATAAATAAAAATAAACTCCTATTTGTTTTTCTCTTGTTAATCTGTCTTTTCTCCATCTAATTTACAAGGCCCCAACCAATGAACCTAACATGAGTAGAAGAAAAAAGTTGTTCTTCTTTTCCTACATTTGCAGTGATTCAGGGTAAACTCCTCTAGTCCTCACTCCCATCCCCAGCAAATCCTCAGCACATCAGTGCAGGGCATAGAGGATACACGTTGCCTTAAGTGAGTGGGGTTTTCTGGAAATCAAGGAAGGAGTTGAATTTTATATCTGGGATGCTGCTGTGAAGAACAGAAAACTGCATATGTGAGGAAGCAAAAAACAAAACAAAACAAAAAACTATTAACCAAGGAGCTTGGGGTTACCTGGGATTTTACAGCAATCTGGAGAACGCTTTTGCTGGCATTAGAGTGTAGCTGTTAAGAAAAACAACTCTCAAACAGATGGCCAGGTTTGAAACCCAGCTCTGCTACCCATCTACTAGCTATGTGCCCTCATCTGTAAAATGGGAATGGTAATAGAAAATAACCAAATAGGGTTGTCATGAGGATCATATGCATTAATACATGAAAAGCATTCAGAATAGTGCTTGACATATAGTAAATGCTTAATAAATATTAGCTTGACATAAGTAGAACACTGCACCCAACAAGGACAGAACACCTATTTTTTTCAAGTAGATATGGAACATTTATCAAAATTTAACCATATGTCAGGCCATAAAGCAAGGATCAAATTTCAAAAGACCAAAACTAGAGTATATACTCTGACCATAGTGGAAGTAAGCTAAAAATCAATAACAAAAAGATAATTAGAAAAATCCCAATTGCTTAGAAATCAAGCAATGTATTCTAAATAACTCTTGGGTCAAAGAAGAAATCATAACAGAAATTAGAAAATATTTTAAACTGAATGATACTGAAGATAGGATATATCAGAACCTGTGGATGCAGCTAAAGCAGGGGCTAGAGGGAATTTTATAGCTTTACATGTATATATTAGAAATAAAGAAATGCTCAAAATCAATGATCTAATAAGTTTCTATCTCAAAAAGCTAAAAGAGGGCTTCCCTGGTGGCACAGTGGTTGAGAGTCCGCCCGCCGATGCAGGGGACACGGGTTTGTGCCCCGGTCCGGGAAGATCCCACATGCTGCGGAGCGGCTAGGCCCGTGAGCCACGGCCGCTGAGCCTGCGCGTCCGGAGCCTGTGCTCCGCAACGGGAGAGGCCACAACAGTGAGAGGCCCGCGTAACGCAAAAAAAAAAAAAAAAGGTAAAAGAAAAGCCGATCAAATCCAAAGAAAGTATTTTTTTAAAAAAAAGAAATAAAGAATAGAAAATATTCAATAAAGAAAATAAACTAGGGGCTTCTCTGGTGGCGCAGTGGTTAAGAATCCTCCTGCCAATGCAGAGGTCACGGGTTTGAGCCCTGGTCCGGGAATATCCCACATGCCGTGGAAGCAACTGAGCCTGTGTGCCACAACTGCTGAGCCTGCGCCCTAGAGACGGCGAGCCTAGAGCCTGTGCTCCACAACAAGAGAGGCCACCGCAATGAGAGGCCCGTGAACCACAACGAAGAGTAGCCCCTGCTCGCTCCAACTAGAGAAAGCCCGCGCACAGCAATGAAGACCCAACGCAGTCAAAAACACATAATAAAATAAACAGATTTAAAAAAAAAAAAAAGAAAGAAAAGAAACTAGGCCAAAAGTTGGCTCTTCGGGAAGATTAATAAAATTTATACACCCTTACCATGAGAAACATGAGAATAAGAGAGAAGACACAAATTACCAATATCAGGAATGAAAAAGGGAATAGCACTATAGATCCTACCGATGTTCAATAAATATAATAAGATAGTATTATAGGGCTTCCCTGGTGGTGCAGTGGTTGAGAGTCCACCTGCCGATGCAGGGGACGCAGGTTCATGCCCGGGTCCGGGAGGATCCCACATGCCGCAGAGCGGCTGGGCCCGTGAGCCATGGCCGCTGAGCCTGCGCGTCCAGAGCCTGTGCTCCGCAATGGGAGAGGCCACAACAGTGAGAGGCCCGCGTACCGCAAAAAAAAAAAAAAATAGTATTATAACCAACTTTGTGGCAAGAAATTTGACAGTTTAGGTGAAATGATCAAACTCCTTAAAAACGCAGTATACCAAAACTGATACAAGAGTAGAAAACCTGAATATTCCAATATCTGTTTTGAAAATTAAAACTACTATTAAAAAACCCTGCCACAAAGAAAACTCCAGGCCCAAATGACTTCACTGCTAAATGTTCCCAAACAATTAAGGAAGAAATATACCATCTTAACCCAAAGTCTTCAGGGGAACAGATATCAGTATCATTACTTTACTGTTATACAGTCGGTTTAATCCTAAGCAAATAATTTCCTATAGCAATTTCAGTCTCAGACATGCAGCGTCTGTGGGAGGCACTGAGGACACTGGGAATAAGGGGGCCTCTTACCATCCTCGTCCGTCTGGAACGTGACCTCCTTGCCCTCCTTGCGCCCCTCGGGGTTAGTGAGGACGAGCCGCACGTGGACATTCCGGTAAGGTAGTAGGTTCTTGATGGTGTAGTGGCTGACACCCCGCTCTATCTTCACACATTCCCGGATGGTCTGGTTGTGGCTGCTGCCCAGGGTGTAGTGATAGCACAGGGACACAGTGTAGGTGTGGCAACGTGTCACGTTGTAGCCCAGTGGTTCCCACTGCAGGGTCAGCTGGCGGGCCTGGATCTCAGCAAAAGCCAGGCCTTTGGGGGCCCTCATGGGCTCTGGGCAACCCAGGAAGCAGAGAGAAAAGGTAGGAGAAATGGGAAAAGAAGAGTAGATGAGAGAGAAAACATCATTCAGCTGACTGATATCAACCTTCCTTTGCCCCCAAGAGTCCAAGAGACCCCCTAGAAGAGCAAACAGTGAGTAAAAGTGTGTTTGGAGTCAGGTGGGGCCACATCTGAATCCTGGCTCTGCCACTTGCAGCTGGCAACCACTGGCTAAGCTGCTTCACCTCTCTGAGCTTTACTTTTCTCAACTGCAAAATGGAATAATAGGCCCTACCTCATAGGATGGCTGTGAGGTTTAAGGTAATACATGCAAAGCATGTGCAATAATGGCTAATACACAACAGGCCCTCGAAAATTTTAGCTATAATTTTTTTTAATAGTACAGTTCACCTCCTATTTCAAGATCGTGCTGGAGGATGTCAAGACAGTCTGAATCAACCAACTGCTGTATTTTCCTTAATTTATTAATTCCAAACTTGTTCTAAAACAGCTTATAGTAATATATACGATACAATAGTATAGAGAAGTCAGGATGATGGGGGAAATGAGAGGCAAATAGTTAAATAATGCCAGAGAATGTTAGAAAAATAGAAATGCATGTCATTAGGTTCTATGTGGAGCTAAAGATAAGATTCAAATTAGGTGGTGAGTTTCCTGGCTGCCAAAGCAAAAAGGGAAATACAATCTGTTAGATGATGATAATGATGATGATGATGATAATGGCTGTTAACATTTATTAGAGGCTTTTTTGTATGTGCTAGGCATTGTTCAGAGGCTTTAAAATGCTTTATCTCATTCAATCCTCTCTGTAATCCAATAGACAGGTGCAATTATTAGCCCTGTTACACACATGTAGAAATGGAGGCACACAGGAGAGATAAGTAACTTGCCCACAGTCGCACAGACAGTAAGTGGTGAAGCTGGGATCCAAACCTGGACAGGCTGGCTTCAGAATCCACACTCTTAACCACCACTACCCTGCCTCCCCATGAGGAATTCACTGTCCAAAAAATAAAAATAAATCACACCAATGCCTCTGGAGAGGCAGCTACCCCAACACAAGAGAGGTGTATATTACTCTGCTTTACAGCCTCTTGATGATTCCATAAAACCAGAAAGTTATCCTCATTTTATAAGTAAAGAAATCAAGGCTTCTGAAGCAAAGCCAGGATGGAGCCCAGGGGGCTCAGACCCATCCTGCATCTGCATTGACCAGCTGTGTGATCCTAAGCAAATCTCTGGGCCTCAGTTTCCTCATCTATAAAATGATGGAAGAAGCCAAGATTACTAATGATCCTCTTCTCTCTTGCCCCCTGACTGTGCAGGTTCTGTGACACCTGCAAAGTTTCCCCAGTTAGAGGACCTCAGGACACACCTTAATGAACAGGAAAGAAAGCACTACTGCTTGCCCTCTTAAGATCATTAAGTATGACCCTGTTATCATCTTTATACGATTAATTTGCTCAGGATGCTCTTTACGAAGATGATGCAAAGAGAAACATCAGGCTGCTCTTTACCTGGGAACGCCTGGGCAGGTGGCACAGTTTTAGACACTGGTCCCAAGGACAGCACAATGCAAGTCTGTTTCCGCCCCGGAGCTTTTCTTCCTTCCCTGGACCACAGGCAAGTGGCAGTCTCCAGTCATACACCAGACCACCAAAGAGAGATTTCAGCACATGCTAAGAGCAAGGCTCACCTCTTGACTTCTTACAGAGAGCCTGGCTCTCTTCTCCCCACAAACGAGGCAGACCCGATCCCCACCCGACAAAAACGTTAAAGGGCTGGCTCCCTGCTCACTGCAACCTGAGGGTTGCTGGCTGCAAGCCCACTTACCACACTTGTGTTTTCTCTCCCGTTCCTGGCGTACAGAGATTTTCCTAATGGTTTTCTATATAGTTTTGTTTTAACCCATCGTTCTTATGTGTTTGGACAGGAGTGGGAGGATTTGGTGAGTGCTCACTCTGCCGTCTTGTTCAGAGATCCTTGCTTTATCCCTTGACTTTCTGGCTCTGGTCCTGGCTGCCCGATGTGTCCTGTCCCAAAGTGTGTATGTCTATGTCAGTGTCTATGTCTATGTCTATGTCTACTAAAGCCAAGGACCATGGCTTTATTTGCACTAGTGAGAGTGGATCTCGTTTCCCTGCAGCTCTGCTCACACCATCCCCACCCCCGGGAACACCTGCTCCACATTCTTTGCCATCCTTCCAGGTTTGGCCAAAGTGTACTGCTTCCTTCACCATCTGGCAGCATTTAGAGAAGGACATGAAACGTTAAATATAAACCGGTAACACAGGCTGGGTTGGGACCATGACCAACAAGACTGTAAGTGTCCCATCCAAAAGGGGCAGCTGCCACTCAGTTCCAGGAGATATCGCCATGCAGGACTACAGGCTCAGGGTTGCCAGATCCTCCCATTTCTTAAGAGAAGCCAGAAATTCCGATCTGTGTGTGGGAAATCTCCAGATTTTTAAATACTGGCAACCTACTCAGGTTTCTTAAAACCACTTTGCAGGGCACAAAATGGTAACCTCTAACTTGGAGGATGAAACTTTCACCCTCGTGCTTGGGTATCTCATTCTCCAACAGCTGCGTTAGCCCCCATCCGCCTCGCTGGAAGAAGGGGTCTTTGAAAAGAAAGCTCACATTTCTTCCTCTCCCCACCCTGAACAAATCTGGGCAGATCCAGGGGCTCAAATAGTTTGTTGACTAAAGGCTGATATGTTGATTGAGGGGTGTGAATTCATGAGTCTCTCTGTGTTTCCAAAAACCATCTGGCACCCAGACACACTCTCTTCAGCTGCCAGCACACACTGGCAAAACAGAACTTGGGGACCTCAAAGCCCCGTCTCTCTAAATTCCATATGGCTGTAGGTTACTCAGAGATCAAAGGTCAAAATGCACATTAAAACAAGAAGGCTAACAGTTAACATCTGTTAAATTAGGCCAAAATGTGTTGATTTTAATGATGTTAAGGAGGATTCGATAACCCTGCAACGTTCTGTTTCTTGAGGAAGGGGCTTTGGAGTGGGGTCGGGTGCTCCAGAGTTCAAATCCTATCATCTCCACCTCTCATTAGTTCTGTGACTTCAGGCAAGTGATTTAACCCCCTTTTGAACATCAAGTTCCTTGACTAAAAAAATGGAGATACAGTAACACCTACTTTGAAAAGCAAGTGTGAGAGTTACATGAGATGGTCTAACTTATAGTAGTTGATTAATTAATATGTGCACTCTAAGGGTGAGATACACCCTATATACAGCAGCACCCTTTATAGTAACAGTATAAATTAGTGCGACCATTTTTAAAGCAATATGTCAAAGTCCTTTCTTAAACCACCCCTGACTACTTATCTCAAAGAAATAACTCAAGGAGGAAAGAAAGCACGATAAGCACTAAATTTTTCAATATGGTATTATTCACAATAACAGGAATCTAGAGACACATAGCCCAGCCATATGGAGACACTCAGTGGACTCCTACAGCCAATAAACATAATTATAAACAACATAACACATGTAACACCACCAAGAAAAGGAAGCAGAATACAGAATGCTTTCTACATCCCAATGACAAGGGTGTGAAATGTGTACTGTAGGCATGTGGGCAGAGATTTGAAGAAGGCAGGAAAACTAAAACAGCTGTTGGGCTAGGATGGTGAGATTTAGAGTGATTTCTTTTGAATGCCTTCTACTGACGTTATATTATTGTTTTTACATTAAATAATATTGTGGGAGCAGAGTTTCATGGGGACCAGGGAGATGACAACACAGCTGGCCAATAGCAAAACAACTATGGGCCAAGGCGTCTAAGCAAGGAGGGGTGGTGATGCCAACAAAGAGAAGGCAGGGTGAGCTGTCTGGATCCTGTCTGCTTGGTCCCTGCTCCAGGTCCCGTCCCGGCCAGCCTGTGTAAAGTGTTTAGCAGTGTTGGCACAAAGTGGGCACTCAGCCCACAATGGCATCTGCTGTTGCTGTTCCTGATGGTGTGGTCGTGACAGTGGTGGTAGTTTCAAACACTAGACTGGAAGGCAGGACATTCCAACTTTGGTTCTGACTCTGCTACAGACTCACTGCGTAGATTTGGGCAAGTGACTACATCTCAAGTTTTCTCATCTGTGAAATGGGAACGAACAACAGCTGTCACCATGAAACATGGGTTCTTAACCCACTGTATGATCACAGGTAAGTGCCTTCCTCTCTCTGGGTTTCATCTGTACATTAAGGAGCGTAGAACAGAGATTCTCTGTGGATCCCCAGCTCTGATTTCTTTTATTCTAAGTACCTGACCAGAACTGGCTTTGAAGAGTTAAAAACACCATAGCAACAATAGTTGTCATTTACTGAGTGCTTACTGTGTGTTAGGCACTATACTTCACAGGCATTTAATGCATTTGCATGACATCACCTGCATTTAACCCAAAACACTGGAGGGTCCCACGGTTCAGGCTTCACTGCTTTTCTCTTTTCCACCTACACTTATTCCCTAAAATCTAAGGACTAAATCAGGGGTTCTCAACCTCAGCATTATTGACGTTTCGGACTAGATAATTCTTTGTTGAAGAGGCTGTTTATACACTGTAGGATGTTTATCAGCTTCTCTGGCTTCCTCTACCCCTTAAACACCATTAGCACCCCACCCCCCGTTTTTACAACCAATATGTCTCCAGACCCTGCAGATGTCTCCTGGGAGACAAAATCATCCCCCAGTTGAGAACCACCATGATAAGAGATCTCATCCTGTGTCATGGATGTAAATACCATCTATACCATATCTATACCGATGACTTTCAAATTTATATCTGCAGCCCGAACCTCCCCCCTGAACTCCATACTCGTAAATCCATCCACCTGATAGATATCTCCACTTGAACGTCTAATAGGCATCTCAAAGTCAACATTTCCAGCACAGAACTCCTTATCTATGGCACCCCGTCTACTACACCTGCTCCTCCCGCAGTCTGCTCCCTCGCAGTAAATGATAACTCCATCCTT